TGGGAAATTAACAAACGACCAGAGACGTAACAATAGATATACCGAAAACTGGCTACAACAATATACCAAATAATTCAACAACAAACACCAATATGTCAACCAATATTCGTTATCATACATCGTTACCACCACAGCCACAACAAAAATTTTTCGCGTGTTTTGTATTATTCGTGTTTTTTGCGTTATCCTTAACCTCCCTTTCCCTCCATTACCCTGGCTAATCGAGAGTCAACTGTATATATAAAATTTAATATAATCCTCTCTAAAAACGTCTTGTGGCCAATGAAAGCGCATCCAAAATTTAATAACGAAGACACATATAATGATAAAAAATAGACATACTGAACATTCTAACCATTATGGATTAAATAACTAACATTAAAGACATTATAGAGTATAGCTTACAGAATACATAAACATTAGTGGTTTGCTTCATACACTGTCGCAGGTTTAATGTTCCATGAAGAACGTGGTATGAGGACAGATGGCTCCCAATTATCCGTGGGTGGATTATTCGGTTTACGGTTTAACTGTGCCTCGATCCGGAGAATCCCATAAGCTGTTATATTTCAGTGTATCTTTGAACTGTTTTTGCTTCGGTTCATTTTCACTTTGTTCGCCGTTCGTTTCATTCTTCTTTTCTTACGTTTCGTTATTTCGTCATTTATTCTATTTTTTAAAAGTGTTGCGTGTCGTGTGTTTATTGACCGTTGAGAACAAAATGTCAAAATGTAAATTAATTTGTATTGCCAATGCAACAAAAACTTGTGATTATTCAAAAACGTAAACATGGTTCGACAGTGACATATATTATAGCTGCGTTCTGCAATTCTAAACAAAAATTTCACATAAAAAAATAGAAATTTTTACATGATTACACAGACCCGCAAATTCAAACTTCATAAAAGTTGTTTTGGTTTCAATAACGGATTTTCCATAATTCAGTTACGCAGATTTCCAAAATTATATTAATTTTTTTCTATCACGTAAGGATTTTTTACAAATCGCGAAGAAGAAGAAAAACTCTTATTTAGATCAAAGTATTTCGTTTACCACAATGAACATTTTTATTATTATGTTTGTTAACAAGAATACAAACAAACTGAAGAAATGGGAAGAACATTGATGTCAAACAAATATGCATCCTCATTCATCCTGATTTTTTATTTTTGTGTGAAATCTACGTCTTTTAATCTCAAAACTACGTGTTGTGGTCTTTTTTTTATGTATTGCGTTATGACGTTTGGTGAAAAATCTGTACGTGATGGAGAAAAACGGATATGATTTTCGGATTCAGCGCACAGGAATTACTATAGAACATGTAAAATTTTCAAGACAATAAA